GCTGTCTCTAAGCTCCCCCAAAGTGTGATTAGGATTTTGGAAAAAAAAAGATTTCTTCTTTTTTCTGGGATTCTTCTAATAGCACTAAAAGGTTTCATAGGAAAAGTTGGAGAAAGCTTTGTTTCCTCTTTGAAGGAAACAAGATATTCAAGATGCCTTCTCTCTCAAGATTTGGGGGACTTGGTACAATAATAACACATTTTTGGTCATTTCATGCATGCGAGATATCCTAGGAATACGGACATGAGAGCTAAATTACCCGATTCTCCAATACGGAAGCGCATTTGCTATACTCATGAGCAGGCACTGGAGTCGGTGGAAAACTCTAATGGGCACAATTGCACAAATGCACAATGTTAGTGTAGAGCTGATTTGCTGATATATACTACGTTGAAGAAAACACAAGCCTTTTGCGGCTAATATTTTAAGGGCATGTTTGGAACAACAAGTTGAAAAGATACTTTTGTGACCTTTTTAGTAAATGTTAGAATTTAGTGACCGAAAAGATCTTAAAAGGAAAAGGTGGTAACTGCTTGGTAAAAATTTGACAGTTAAATTTAGTTCTGTTTGATATACAAGCTGTTGAGACAAATTAATACTAAAAGCCACATGCTTTTCTTAGATTCTTAGATGTTACTCCTTGTAGCATCTCAAAAAAAGGTCTTTTATTTTTCAAAAAGTCCTTAAAAATGGTCATGCCAAACATACAACTACAAGCTTTTAGAGTCTTTTTAAATAGTACAAAAGCTGGAAGACGGTGACTTATGTCTGACAAACATAGCCTAACTTTGCCGCCTCAATGGAGTCTTCAAAGTCTAGCCGTCTACGTGATTCAATACTCCATATATTTATTCTCCCGAGTATTAACAAATGTAATTGAGTTTACCACCCTTCCCTAAGTAAAATATTTTACATAGTATAGTGTAAAATGTTTTTAAAAAAGTGTCCTATAATTTACATTAAATAATTAAAAAAACCGTGTAATATGCTTATTTCCCTACACTTTACACGCAAAGTGTTTACTTTACGTCCTAACAAATCGGCCTTAGGGCATCCCCAATATAACTATATAAGTCAACTCGTATTTATTTTGCATCTTGACTTGACATGTCACTTATTTTTGGCTAACTCATTTAGTCATCTTGATGGTTAGTTATAAATTTATTTTACAACTTAGCAGCAGATATTTTTATTAAACTTATTAAACATATTTGAATTCATATTGTTTATTTTAGTGGGCAACGGTTTGGAGAGAAAAGTTTGAATTAAAACTTTTAGTAGGGAATTAATTATGTGTAACTCAGTAATTAGTAGATTTGTTTTGTTTAAGAGTCCTCTTAAAACTATTTGCTGAAATAAAATCTGGTATTTACTAAAATATGACTCAAGATACTATAGTATTGTGTTATAGTTAATCCTTCCCAATGAAATTTTCATTTTTGCATTTATTGGATAAAATTTGTATCGGGCTTTGATTTGCATTTACTATTTTTGAGGGAAAATAAGAGAATTAAGCACGACATTGGCGTTGGAGAATTATTCGAGAACAGTTGCGGTGCATTTGAGAAGCATTGCGGGTCTACGAGGCAGGAAAGTACGGGAATGAACGTGGACTTAAGGGACATGTAAAACGGTTATTTGGACCACCACTCAACTCGCAACCTTGAATCAGGATGGACGCTCTGTCAATCGTTTGAGCATATCTTTTTGTAGAAACATCCAAATGAAACGATTCAAGTTTCCTATGAAAGATAACTCAGTGAGTTACAAATAATATGAGGACACTATGACAAGAATGTGAGAGAAGTCAGGTAAAAACAGATGAGAAAATCAGATATTAGTTGTTGAGATTTCAGGATGCGACCTTCCACCATTTCATCCAAATCTTTTGATGAGAGGATCCAAATCCAATTTTTCAAGTTGTGGTGGATAGAGGACTTCATTCGCACAATATTTTTGAAGAAATCATATCCAAATTCAGACAGAATCTGTGCAGGAAAAGCGCAAGTGCGGTGCACGCCGTGCGAGCACGGGCGTGAGTACGGGCGTGCTTGTGACTGAGAACGACCATATTTCGCCCTAAATAGCCCAATTTCGACCCCTTTCATTGTTTTCTATTTAAACACCCTACAAACCCCAGTTTTAGGCTCGATAAAGGTTAGTCCATTGGTGGTGGGCAATCTAATGGTAACGGTGACATAAATCTTTCATGTTGGTGGCGGCGGAGTTCCAATGGCTAGTAGCCAGTGACCCAGTGGTAGTGGCAAGCCTTAAACCGCGACAGGGTATTCTTGTCTAATAAAAAAAACTCATATTTTGGGAATTTTAAATATCGATTTTATTTGTGTCTGTCCCATGTTTTACTCCTATTATGCGAACTAGTTACTACACCCGTGTGTTGCATAGGAGTAAAACACCCACATAATAATTTAGATGCAATTACATAATAAAAAATGAAAAAAAAATCGATTGTGTTCGAATTATTCAGAAATATTAAATAAACTTTGAAAGAAAATGTCATTATATTAGGTTAGTAGCAAAGTATGAAATAAATGGTAAGAAGTAAATGTAAAATAGACGTGCACCTAAGGATGTTTTAACTTGGCTTCAAATTTTCTGGTCTGGTATTGTAAGTGTCTGACCTCTATGTATTTTATAACTATCCATGTCTTGTCCGAGATTGAAAACAATCCAAGTAAAAACATTTGGATAAGTCCGAGATTCAAAAGCACAACATTGAATTTGAATATAATAATGCCCTATTCTATGAAAATTGCTAAATTAAATTCAAAATACTCAAATATGATTTTTGTTTTTAAAGTTCCCAAAACAATGACGTATTCAGTGCCTAATTTCCAGTGACTCATGATCTACGAATGACTATTGTTCAGTTACTTGTACATAGTGACTAATCATATTTTTGTCCAAAAACATAATTAGTCATTTCTTCACATAATAATAATTTAAGTAACACAATTTTTTTTATTAACTAAAGAAAAATGAATTTGTCTTAGAATAATGATTAAAGTGATTTTATCGTTTTTTTGCATGGATATATACACTTCGTATAGTAAGTATGTCAAACAAACCAAAAAATACGCTGCTTTCATGAATCAAAACGAGATATTGGACAACTTTTCAAAATTGCGATAAAATTTAGGATTTTTTCAAAAATATTACTACAATAAAATTTGTTTACACAAATATGACAAATATTACAACTCTAATAACTACTCACATTTTTGTAAACAATCTTTATTGTAATCATATATATGTAATTATTTCATAAAATTACCATATCAACTTCGGGAAATCATAGCTTATATGTCAAATATCATTACACTAAAATGATGAGCATAATGAAGTTACACATTTACACAATATGACATTACTAGAATGCAATATCAACATGTCCTGATAGTTGATACACCCATACACCCCCGTCATGAATATACACTTCACATCACTAGCTATAGACATTGTTCTCACTTCTCTAGCTAGAAGTTCACTTTTTCTTCTAAGAATTCTTCAAGAAATCCCCAATTGCTCATACCTCCAAAAATAGTTTCAGGTCGAAATTCAAGCCCTCACACCGAGGAATAGGCCGAATTGAAGAATAATACTAAACCCGTGATTCCCTCATCATTTTCATTCATTTTCATTTACCCCAGTGCTGTAAAGACTCCCACCTACAGTGGGGTAAGGGGGGTCGGATGTACGCAGTCTGACCCCTGTACTAAAGCACAGAGAGACTGTTTCCGGATGACCCATAGTGAAAATCCCGTCCAAAATTGCATGGACTGACTGATGCTTCATAACAAAGAAGCGCAGACAGTTTAGTGAGCCATTATGCTTTATTCCATCATAATCTCAAGCCAAAAAATAATGAATCTTTTGCTCCATTGCAAATAATGGAAAACCCGTGATTCCCTCCAATGTTGAAAAAGGTTCCAATTTCCACCTGACCACCTCCATCCATCCGTAATATATAGAAACACTATAAGGCCAAACGCTGTCACCGCCTTCATGAAAAAAATGTGTGAAGCTCTACTTCAGCCACATCTCTACCCTCATTGTAAATAAATCTAGACACTCCCCTGAATGAGTTGGCGTTGAACTAGCCATGCTTCGGTGATAATTTGTACACGAAATAGGATGAGTAGTGTGTTTCTTCATATAACTTTTGACTAGATATTCTCTCGGAAATGTCAAACTTGAGGATGTCCATTGAGTTTACGTGCTGCTTTTTGTATTGCTTCCCTCTTTTTGGCATCATTGGGAGTGACTTCTGTTGCAATAATTGCAACCCTGTTCTGGAGCTCAGTTAACTCATTTCTGAGGCTGATGATGTCTTCCTCTTTAGAGCTGAGCTTGATGGAGGTTTTGTCAACTGTTTTGGCGAGGTCGCTGATTGCATTTGTTTGTTGAATGAAGGCATCTTTAGAGCTGGCATATAGAAGCTCTATCACATTTTGCATGCCCTGGTGTGTCTTGTGAAGCTTTTCTGTGTCTTCATCATGTGTTTGCTTCATTAATCGGAGACCATGGGAAAGCCGCAGAGTATCCTCTTTTAGTTGTCTCTCCAGTTTGGTATATGCATCTTGAAGTTGGGATAGAGCCTGCTCAAGATCAGTTTTAGTAACCCAAAAGGGAGAGAGTAATAATAGAGTAGAATTAGTACTAGCATAGAACACTAATAACGTATATCTCAGTCAGGGCTACCATTATGGTTAAGCCTACTTATTATTTTGATAGGTAATACCTGAGTGGATAGCTGATTTTGAGGTTCTGGCTGGGGCTCATGAGTTGGAGGCATTTGTGGAGTGGGCTGCTGTGCTGCAGGAGGCTGCTGCAGAGACATCTTAGCCTCTCTAGCTCTTCTTCTTGCTTCATTGAGCTCTGCTAACCGGTTGTTCATGTTAGTGATGTTGCCTGCATCAAGGTGCTGTTGGTATTCCCTAGAAAGCTTTGCTGGCATTTGACGTCCTTGATGGGCATCATAGAATTGCCCAGCTAGCCAAATCATCCCCTTTATCATCGCAGCATCTATGGTTTTAAATTTGGGAAGCATCTTCTCTTTATAAATCTGTTGAAGTTGAAGTAAGTGCTCCTCTTGTAGCTTTTGGGTTGTTGCTGCTGCCTCCTGTTGAGATTTTACTTGTTGTAGAAGTTGATCAATATTTATAAGGCTTCCCAGTAGAGCATTTTGACTAGCTTCTTGTTGGGCAGCTGCGTGTGTGAGCATTCTCTTTTCACACGCTCTTATTTCTTGAAGCAGCTCCTCTTTCAATGCACAGGGCTGGAGACAAGCTGGATGCTCATCTAGAATTGGACTGGTTGCTTGTGACCCTCCTGCTTTTTCCTCTGATTCTGCTGCCTGATCATCTAGTTGTATAGTGACAGAATAGTCTTTATATTGAAGTAGCTTGGATGTAGATGCCTCTTCTTGCTGCAGTTGATTGGAGGTACCCCTTGCTCCTCTGAAAAGATCAATCTTAGAGATTTTAATTGCGTTCCTGAGATTTACGGCTTCCTCATCATCTTCGTCATCAGATACTATGATCATCTTCCTTTTGCCTTTGTAATCATCATGATGATGATCATCGTCATCCTCATCATCAGAGCAAGAGAAGTCTGCTGGTGCCTTCTCCTCTCCTTGTAGACAATTCTTTTTGGCTATGTAAACTTGATTGATCTTATATAAGGTCACACATAGAGAGACATCAGAAGTACCTAACCAATTAATTGAGAAGGCTTCTTCTGTTGCCATTCCAGAGATGGTGGAGATCTGATTTGCAATTGGAGCTAGCTTCCATGCTCTCCATCTTCTAACTCTAATGTAGTCTGCTTCAAGTTGCTGCAGTCTTATTTTGAGGTTTTGAGCCATGCCTTCTATTTTCTGCACTTCCCCTTCACGTTCAGTAGAGTTATGTGCAGATTGTTGAGAGGTCTGAACCCTTCAGCTTCTTCATTGTTGATGGGTCATGGATGTTTGTTCCCTAGTGTGGAGTAGTAGAATAAGCTATACCCTGTGATTGCAAATGTGGAAGAGGAACATCAGAATGCTGAGGTTCAATCTCAGCAGCAAGTAGCAACAAGCTGTTCACATCATTCAGGACCTATATCATGGGGGTTATGTACTTATGCAGATTGATAACATTAATCAGCCTGATATGAATCATATGTTATCCCGTTGGTTATTGACGTCTAATTCTTCTAATATGAGGGCTATTTAAGACTACTACAATCGGGCATGATTCTATGGTTTGTCTGGAAAGGCACGAATGGGGTTATTTGGGATAATCAGGCATTTAAAAGCTTCCAATTTGCCAAAGTAAACGATGATACTGTCGGATTTCGGAAATGGTGTCTCAGCAATAAAGGGGCGAAATATATCCGTTTCAATGGAACACAAATTCAAAGGAGAAATCTTACCGGCCAATATTTGGAAATGTAAAACTACAGACTTGGTGGGTTGGTGCGGAATCAATGCGGATGCAGTTTTTTCTGATGGAGCCGGGAGGGGCAATTCTTCGGCTGCCGCAATAAAAGATGTGTCACCGACCTGGTTTCCGGGAATTTCCGATAGGAATCTGACTCGGAGCTCCTCTGTAAAGTCGTTAATGATTCATCTCCCAACCTGGTTTCCTTCGCAGCTTGATATTTCGACTAAGAAATTGGAAGATTCAGCTCCAGCTTAGGATCCTCCGTTGCTACTAATGAGAGTAACCAAGCCACTCATCTGCTTGCTCGGGAGGGTTGTGTCAACAATGTGAATATCGTTTTTTGAAATGCAATAATCAGAAGAAATTCCACTTATGGAATGAGAGTAACCAAGCCGCTCATCCTTAAAGTTTTGCACAAATTCCACGACTAATCCTTTTTCGATAGTAAAAATGCTCAGAAATGGACCACAAATGGTCAAGAAAACAATAGACAGATACAAAAAATGAATAAAGTGAAAGACGAAAACTTAATATGGAAATGACACAAAACTCAAAGGAACTAAAGTGGAATTAATTCATCAGAAAATACATGGTAATCGGGATTACAATATTATCACTTAATATAATTAGGATTATAAATCTTACTTACATTTAAAAAATACTATCTTACTTAAATAATTAGGATTACAAATCTAACTGCTATCAACAATTGCTATTAATAGCTTAAAAACAATTAGAGTCTATTTGGTAATACTAAAATTGTCTGAATCGGCTACTTCTGGTGAAATCAATGAATTTCAGGCTGAAGTGGTTGGATTGGTTGATTCTGCTGAATTCTGAACAAATTATATTTAAAACATATTTTATTAATAAAATAAATACAAAGTTTTATGAAAAAATAGATAAAATTATCATCTACAGTAACTTTAGTCAATCCGGTCACAAGAGTAACTGCAACTTTACTTTTGTTTATTACACAACTCAGGGCGCATAATCAAAAGTTAAGTGTTTGATGAAAAAATTTATTGATAAAGCTCATAAATCGAAAAACAGGATCACCACATGGGCTCTTATTATAAATACTCCCTCCGTCATAATTTAATTTGCAAAATTTCCTTTTTTTGGTTATCCCAAAATGGTTTTCCACTTTCTATTTTAGATATGTAAATAAAAATAAAGTGATAAATTTACCCTTACTTTTACTTTTTCTCTATTAACTTAAAGGCATCTACTTTTAGAAAGATGGACAAAAGTGTAAAAAGCAATCATCATTTATTGTTATTTCTTAATCCTTGTTCCGGTCAAAGTTTGCAATTCAATTCGGGACGGAAGGAGTATTTGTGAAACACCCAGATATTCTTATAAATATTTTCCAATCACCTTTTTTTTAAATATGGAGAAAACTTTAGTCAAAGGGGAAGTCTAAACAAAGACTTTTTTTCTTCAAAATATTACCTATGTAATATTGGTGTCACGAAAGATTATAACAAGTTATTTAGTTCAATATTTGTTTTCATAATTAGAACACAATTGAAATGTTATACTCCATAGCATATTATAAAAAAGTAATTGGAGTTTTTTTTTTGAAAATTTTGGGTTTTGAAAATGTTTGCCACATGTTATGAAACTATTAGCTAGAGAGTGAATTTATGAAAATAACAAAATACATATTGTTAGAGGTGGCAGCGAATGGAGTGCTACGGAGCGGCAAGTAGCATTTTTAGTTTAAAACCAAAAATAGGGCAAAGTGGTCTAAGCATGATTACGTTTAGTAAAATGCGGCTCACAAAGCAACACCCTTCCATCATCACACACTCGCAATGAATTTCCCTTACATTAAAAGCAGTGGTCAAAACACAAAAAAAAAAATTGGTTTTATTTGAACTTGTTCTCATGTACAATTGTGCACTCCAAACTTACTAACATGTACTTCCTCCGTTCCCTTTTAATTGCAACAGTCAACATTTTTGTTTGCCAATGCACAAGTTTGACCATTAATATCTTTCATTCCTTATAAGTAAAAAATTTAAAAAAATCATATTTTGAAAATTTAGAATGAGAAGAATTTAACAATATTTTTAAAAAATTTAATTTATAATACATTAATTAATAAAATATAGTCAAAGTAGAATATGTGAATAGTGTAAAAAGTCCAATGTTGTAACTAAAAGAGAACGGAGGTAGTATTACACTATAGTTCTAATTCTCATTGGCACTCATGTCATTTCAATTAAACAAAATGGCCGGTGACACTAAAATCACCAAAAATCCTTCCCAATTTTAGTGTAACCCATGAAATCACATACTCCCTTCGTCCCCCAATTAAGTTACCACTTTCCTTTTTGGGCAGTCCCTAAATTAAGTTCATACTTCATTACTTTCCTTATTTGGCAAATTATCTACATCAAAACAGTGTCAAACAGTGCAAAACAGTGTCAAACAGTGTTTGAACAATGCAAAACAGTGCACTCCACAGTAAAGTCAAATTTATTTTCTTAATACGTGTGAAGTCAAATCGGGAACTTAATTGGGGGACGGAGGGAGTAATAAAGTTTACAAACCAAAATGTGCACATAAATGGAAATGTCCATACGATTAAATTTTCATCTTAATATTCTACGCATTCAAAATATTCGAGAATCAGGGTGTCCTATGTATTGAACCCGTCAACTCATTTGAACTCCTGAAGATAAAATACATACAAGTTTCTATACTCAACTAGAATAAAATCTTGACACAATTATAAAGTTGTGTGTCCTAATCCCTTTCATTACCATATAAAAGTCAAGTCCTAAGCCTTTTTAAGTGCGGCTACTGTAACACCGAACCCGAATTTTTCCCAGAGAATTTTTTTTCATCAAGTGCATGATTAAAGAAGGTAAATCAAGACTAGAGTAGCCTTGATAAATGATAAAGATAAAATTCTTGTCTTAAGTTAATAAAAGATTATTGATCAAATGCGGGACCCACATCGGGAGCGGGGACCACCCGTGGTATTCTTAGTGTATAAAAAATTAATGTTGATCTAAACAATACTATTTTAATAGTAGGAATGGGTCGTGGACCCCAGTGATATAAACAATGACAACTGGATGGCCAAATGGGCCGGGGCCACTATTCGATAATTGTGAGCCCTTAATTCTCGGACTATTAATAATTCGGAAGACTGTGAATTAATGACAGAAAAAATATAAATATTTTAAGAGTCCAAAATAATGAGTTGATAAATATATGATTAATTTAGTACATTAAAGGAGGGTACTTTTGGAGGACCCTACCTTAAAGATATTTTGGTTTGGGAACAAACAGATAAGATTTTATCTGTTTATACATTTTGGACCACTTAAAAAAAACTGTAACATTTTATTAAAGTGTCACAAAATGTCAAAACACATATTGAGTCTTGAGAAATGACTAATGAATTTACGAGATGATGCGTTCTCATTTTTACTGTTACTTGAACAGTAATTGCACGATGAGCCTACACTATAGGCGGGGGCCATCCGATATTTCCGGGACTACATATTATATTCATCTTAGTCTAGGTGATATTTATATGATGGTTTATATTTATGTTTGGCCATAGAGTTGGCCGTTTGATCAAAAGGATCCCATTACCGATATTAATAATTTAACAGATAATAGCCCGAAATAAATTCCGGGGACCACTAAATTAAAGTTGGGTAATATGAATTCATTCTAGAGGCCAATATTAATTGGAAGAATAATATATATTTTATTTTGCCCGATAAAATAAAATATAATTTAAACAGTCCGGAAAATACAACTTTCGGGGTCGAATGTACTTTTTGAGACATATTGGGATGACCTCCCACATATGGGGAGGCACCCCACTATTTTTGGTCTTGCAATAAGTGTGTAGCACCATGTTAAGATATTAGAATTAATTAGAGGTGATGTCAAACAATTCAAAGGATTAAGGTCTGCATATCTTCATCTTTAATCTCCCAAAACCGAGCTCAAGCATACGGATGTCCAAGGAAGAAGGAAGAGTGAGAAAAGAAGAGAAAAACCTTGATTTATTAAGGTAATGGTCTCATTAACATTTTTCATCCTTAATTTAATCTCATATGATTTTTATAAATCATATGATAGAACCCTAAGCTTGTTCTACACTTCAAGGGGTGTAGAATGAGGGGTTTGAAGGAGAGTTTTAACCATGATCGGAGTTATGGCCGGAGTAAGACCGGTTTGCCGGAAAACACCTTCTCGAAGAGTTTTGATATTTATACCACTTTTGGGTTACGAAACCTTGTTAGGAATTTTACTAAGGTATTCTGGACTTCTCAAGGAATCTAGGAGTGGCTCCAAAAATCGCCAGAGTTCAAACAAAGAGGATAAAAGCTCGCTAGCGTCATTTCGAGGTGAGTGGACGACTATGTATCTTGTAATTCTTGGGTCAAACGTGGGATTACCTAATTAAAATCATAATCATGATTTGAGAAATGATTAAATGGATTAAAATGCATGATTAGTCATGGTGAATATGAATTATGGAAATATTACATGGTTAATGAATAAGAGATTTATTTGTGGATTAATTATGAATATATTATTGTCAAATGTATACAAATGCATACATGGACTATGTATGAGATAACTAGAGTAATCTAGTATGTGAATATGTATAGAAATGTTTAAAAGTGTTTAAACATATGATTGACCATATTGATAATAAAATTAAGTGAAAGTGGCATGATTAATTACTGAGCAAAGAATTATTAATATTCTTGATGAAGAATAATCATAAATGATTATTTGAGAAAATGATTGAGAAAACTCAAGATGGTATTCTTGTGAAGGATTCAAGTATTAAATAATGCAAGTCACTAAAGTAAAACTAGTTTATGAGAAATAAACTAGGGAAATATACAAGCTATAATTAATTAATATAAATGTTTTGTTGACTCATTCGAGAAATGGATAAAGTAATTAAAGTAATATTCTTGTGAAGAATTAAGAAATTCGTAAGTACACGTTGTTAGAGCAAGAATTTGGCTGTTTGTGTTGCATTGAATAGGGTTGATCACAGAGGTTAATGAAGCTTAATGATGGTTGTTGAAACAGATTTGTGGTTATTATTATGGTTAATAACGATATTAAGGAAGGATGTTACTTATTTTGAGCTGACCAGCATTAATGATAAGTTGTGAAACCGTCGGGTCGGAACCGTCAAGTCAAACCGTTCGTAACGGACAACTCGAGCTAGTGGAGCATTTGCAAGGCCTAATGACAATTATTGTAACGTCTTTATGTATTATTAGCCTCTTTAATATGGTTAATGAAGATATTGATTGTAATTGACCGGCCTTTATGACATATTTGAAATCG